AACTCTTAAACGCGTCGGGTCGTTAGCATTTGCTTGCGTGCTCGGGGGGGCATCTGGGGGGCCTCCTGGGGCCGCTTGGGGGCCTCTCGGGGGCCTCCTGAGGGCCTGTTGGAGGCCTCTTGGGGCCTCGTAGGGGCCTCTTGAGGACTCCTGGGGATTTCTTAGGGCCGAGGGCTCGAAATTTTGTTTCGCGCTCCCCCCCTGGGACCCGTCTTGGAGGCCTTTTGAGTCGTCTTGGAGCCCTCTTGGGCCGTCTTGGGGCCCTCCTGGGGGCCTCTTGGGGCGGTCTTGGGGGCCTCTTGGGCCGTCTTGGAGTGTCAGGAAGCCGAAAAGGTGGAAACGCTAAAATCGTTTCAAAACCTGAGGGAAAGCAACGAATTGTTCCTCTTGGGGCCCTCTTGAGAGTGCTCTTGGCGGTTTCTTGGGCCGTCTGGCAGCCATCTTGGACGTCTTGGAGCGATCTTGTGGCATCTCGGAGCTCTCTTGTATCATCTTGAGGGCCTGTTGGCGGCCTCTTGGCCTTTCTAGGGGTGGACGGCCTCGAGGGCGACGCTCAGGAGGAAAACCATTTCTGACCCGAGTCTCCAGGGACCTGCCCTGGGTAGTCCGGGGACCCCCGGGGGCCGCCCCGCGCGCGCGAAGTAGAATTCTTGTAAAGCAGTTGCCGGAGATCTTAGCACGCCTCTGGCCCGTTGGGCTGGCGAATGTCCCATGCTGACGGTGGCACGCGGTAAGGATCGTGCTCAGCAGCCGCCTGGATTGTAGATGCAGGCGTCGTCCGAGACAATCGCCGGCACACGTTCCCATTAGCACTCCGCGGCATTTCCTTCAGTACAGTCGGGGCGTTGACCTAAGGAACCCGAAATAAGGAACGAGGCCCCTTTTTCCCACAAGTTAAACTTCGATTTCCCATCGAAAACCTAAGGAAAATCTAAGGCAAGCTGCGAAACACTTAAGGAACGCGGAGCCCCTCCCCAACGAGCAGGGTTCCTTCTTCAGGGCCACGACTGTACGCATGTCTCTTCTTTCACAGCTGAGGCCGTCGCTTTAGACGACGTTGTGTGTTTTGTTTCCGGCAGGATTTTGAACTGCTCCCCTGGCCAGTTTAAGGGTGCCCACTCCGCACGTGCTTACTGACCTTTTCCCCAATTTCCCGACCTAGCACACGTGTGCTGTGTGACGTCGGAAACAACGAAGGAGGAGGAGGAGGAGGACTAGCACATGCAAGGACCAGGGTCGCCGGGCCAGGGGGGAGGATAGCATCAGTCTCTCACATGCGTCAGTTCTCTCTCTCCCCGGAGGTGCTGCTCAGGAGGGGGCCCGACCGTCCACACCACCCATCGACCCCACCTTTCTGTCTTCCGTGTGGTCCTGTGGTGTCGGAGGTGTGGATCTTGGTACGTTTGGGCCTCCTGTAAGTTTACAGAAGCTTGCAAGCCTCCTCTCACAAGTCAGAGCGCGGGGCAGAAGGCAATTAACAAACTCACACAGTACAAGCTCCCCCCAGGCCTCAAAGAGTGGCCCCAGGGGAGTGCGTGACGTTTCCCAGGTTCCCTTAAAGCGTAAGGATCAGGAGCACAGGATGTACGTTGCGCGCGGAGGATTAGCACATGGTATGCGACCGAGTCTCGTCGGCCTCGCGCCTCTACCTGGGGCCCTATGTATTTGCAAAGGTAGCAGCAGGGTCTACATGCACCTTGTCATTGCCTTTAGCGCGGCTGGGATGCTGAGAAAGGGTGAATCGCTTCCAAGTAGAACGAGTGTGAGCGCTCTTCAACTTTGTTCTGCAAGGTGAGAGCAGCCGTTTGCCCCGCTGACCCCTCGAGAGTTGCCCACACATGGAGCAGATCATGAGGAGGCCTTCAGAGCCACCTCAAGTAGATTATGCTACATACAGCTTGTGGCCGCGCGGGCCCTGAAGAGAAGTAGTCGCACTTGGATTGCATCCAGGGTATATCAGCCCCGCAGGTGGGGCGCGCCTCGAGCCAGGCAACAGTCACACAACCAGCGTGAATCAGGCAGCCACCGCCAGCGGCGCCCATCCTCCAGGGGGTCTGTGGCGGTGGGGGGAGGGGAGGGAGGAAGTGGCGGGGGCGGATTCCCCTTGGAGGGTACTGGGTACACATGAGCCCGCAGCCCTGCTCGACAAAGCCGCCGAGGAAAATGAAAGCGGCGCCTCTGTCGAACGAAAGCCTCCCGTTTCAAGGGCCTCGATTCCACGTGCCTCCCTCGCGGCAGCAGCACCGACCTCGATTCTGGCCTACGCACTTCCTGCAAGCTCTTTTGCCTATGCCCGAGGAAGGGGGCAGGCCGGAGAATCAGGGTCTTCCCTACGTAACGCAAGGAAGCGACAACAGCGATTTGCAACTGCTGGAAGGGGGACCTCTCTATTTCCACAGGCTGAGAGATCTTGGCCGCTCGTAACTTCGCATGCCGATCGGCCTCATGGATTCCAGCTGCACTCCATTACAGATCTGAGCCCACCTCGAGGTTCTCCAAT